GTTGATGGCAGAGTGAGGACTCCTACCAAGCCCCTGGACTCCCAGTCCAGTGCTCTTGCCACTGCATCAGAGTAATTCTATAAACTCCAGGTCTTCACTGAAGAGGGCAGTGTGGGCAGTGGGAAGATGTGTAACCTGGGTTTGAATCCTGGCTGTGTTATTTATTTGCTGTGTGGCAAGAGGCAAGTCATGTAACTTCTCTGAGCCTCAGTTTTGTCGTCTGTAAAATGGATATAATAATAGCACCTACCTTACCTGGTTATTGTGAAGACCCGATGACATGAGGCATATGAAGTAGTTAGCAGGTAGCGAGCTCTCAGGAAATGTTAGTGACCGTTAAATAATACTCCTGCTCCCTCTGTGCTTGGCACTCTGTCAGATCTGTGACAAGGACTTAATGAACACTCGCTGTGCTACTGTGGCAGGGGGGGACGGGCACAGGGGATGGCCTCATCTTCCCAGTGTCTCTTGTTTAGGACCTGGAGGCTGAAGGGACAGCCACTATCCCAGAGGAAAAGGCAGGTACAGGCTCACACCCACCCCCTGTGCTGCCAGCTTTCCAAACAAGCCCCGCCCAGCACCTTGCTCAGGAAAGCCCTGCTAGTTCTCTGCTTGAAGGGGTGACTAAGAGAGGGTTGGTTGGTTGTCTGCTGTAACAGCTGGGGATGGAGTTCCCAGTGCAGGAAGGAGTCTGGTCCCTCGAGCAGTGGCAGAGAGGCCAAGCATCTATGCTATATTCATAGTCTTCCATCTCCCCAAACACAATCCGTGATCTATGCCTTAAATGGGGCCCTGTCGCCTGCCCCCATAGCTGAGCACATCAAATCCTCAGAGACCCATCACTCTCCCCTACCACCTCCAATCTCTCCAGCCTCGTTCCCTTCACTTGCCAATGTCATCATTTGCTTCAGGATGTAGCAGAAAGTGGGTATTTTGTGGCTGTCCACCAGGTCACTCCTAAGCTGGAGACCACAGGCAATTACTTGCCGTCTCTGTGTGCCTGTCTTCTCACCTGTAAAATAGGAGCAGTAATTCTTGCCTCCCTAGACTCTTGTTAGCAGTACAGGGGCTGAAACAGTGGGGCCTCTTCAGGGAGGTCAGCAGATACTGCCTAGTGGTGGTGACTTCCATGTTTGTACAAATAGGGAAACGAGGGCCCAGAGCTGGTGATGTACTGGCTGAAGGTCACACAGCAAATGCACTCTCAGACCCCAGGAGTCCCTGCCAACCTGTCTTAGGAAGTTTCATCCCTTCAAGTAAGCGTTTCCTTCTCTGGCCCATTTATTAGATTTTCAATTTTCTCAGTTTGGCTCCGAGGCCTCTCCCCATCCCCCCTAAACCTTCTCTTAAGTCGGGGGGACATAGTGCCTGGCACACAGTAGCTGCTTGTCAATACGTGTGAAGACAGGCTTGGAGGTACATGCAGGGCTGGTGTGGGGTTGGGGTGGAGCCGAGTTCTGGGGTAGGGACAGGCTTGAGGGGGTTTCTCTGCATCTCCAGCTCTGCCTCCGGCGGCCCTGGCTGTCTAAGAAGTCTCATTTTGCCAGCAAGCTGATTCATGGGCCTGGCTCCCCGGTGCTCCCTGAGCAGCTCTCTGTCAATAACTATTCTTACAAGGTCCCTTGATTCATTTTGGAGTTGAAGACAAATTTTTAAAGAGGAGCGCAGTGTCAGGGCCATTCCAGAGGGCCGTTAACTTAATGTCCCACCTCGCTCCCTCCCAACCTGCTCCCTTTTGGACTGCACGAGAGTGAGGACTCGCCGCTTCTAGCAACCGCTTCTGACTTCTCGCATTGGGACAGGAGGTGAGGAATGAAGAGAGAGGGACACAAATTACAGGGCAGGGCGGCAGGCGGGGCTCTGGCTCTGTCACTAGGTTTGTGTGTGACATTCTGCCAACTGCTTCCCCTCTCTGGGTCCTCGTTTGTGAAAGTGTGGATGCTGACAAACACCACTCTGCTAGCATCCACCGTCTTCCCTGGAGTGGTCTGGTCTCTGAGGTTCACTTGGGAAGGCGATCTCGGCATCGAGCAGCAGCTATCCCACGTGGGATAATGCAGTTGGCAAATTCTGCCACTGAATACCACTGCACCCACCCAGCTCCCTGTCCCCACTGCCCTGCCCTCCTCCCCTCTGCTGCAGCATCCTCCTAACTGGTCCCCTTACCCCTCCCGTCTTTCCTTCCTTCACCCAGTGAGACGGCCATGATCTGAGCCTCGAGTCTGAGCCTGACTCCCTCCGGCCTCCACACTTTGCATCGGTGCTTGTTTCCCCTATCACTGGACTCGTATCCAGGCGCAGGGAAAGCACATGCAGAGACACGGCAAGCAAGCACAGGGTGTCGAGTGTGCGCCTCCGGGCACTCACACCACTGTGCTCACTTCCTGGAATGTCCTTGGCCCTGTCCTCAGCAAACTCAGTTTGAGTACCTCTCCTCCTTTGTGCCCCCCCCAGCCAGGGCAAAGCCATCACAGCAGCATCAATCATCCCTGGTGACCGTGGTCAGCAGACCCGTCCATCTTCCCTGGGGGGCTGGGGCCCCCTTGGGGACAGGCCCGTGGTTTTGCCTCCACACTCCCTGGCAGGGCCCAGCGCATAGTGGGAGCTTAATGTGTTGAATAAACAAATGGCTCCACGCTCCGACTTTATCACCAGCACCCTCCCGTGCACACACACTCAAGCTGGGATAGCCTTCCTTGACTCACACCCGTGTCCTCCTTGTCTCTATCTGGAACTTGTGATTTTCTGCATGGAGAAGGTGGTAAGGTGACGGAGTAGAGAAAATCCCCAGATGTGGGATAATGAGAAAGCCGTTTACAGTTTGCTTGTGGACTTTGTCAGCAAACATTTCTTGAGCACTTGCCAATTCCAGGCACCATGGGTTAAGAAAAACGACTGAGACCTATCCACGCCCCCCGCCCCTCCAGGAGGTCCCTGTCAGGGCTTATTTGAAGAGCAGGGGTCTGGTGTTCTGGGAACTCAAGAGGAGCCCGCACACTGGGCCCACCTGCGGTTCTGCCCTGGGCACAGCTTTCTGGCAGCTCGCTCCTTGCTGCTGAGCTACACCCGCTCCTTATCGTAAAACACACGATGGGCAGAGCTGGCCCATCTCTCGTCTGACTTTCAGGCCCACACCATACCTGAAAATTAAGACCTGGGTGTGGCAAACTCCACACGTTGAGAACCTCTACATGCCAGGGTCTGTGCTAGGAGCTGAGTCTGCAGAGCACTTTACATACATGATCTCATTTATACCTTACAACAACCCAGGGCTGCCGTCGTCGGTTGAGCAGATGATCATGGCTTCCTTCCATGGTGGGCAACAGCATGTTGGGGCTGGTGCCAACGCAGCCCTAGTCCCTTCCAGGACAGATGCTGGTTGCTGTAGCCACCTGTCCAGGGCACTGGAGGCTGGCCAGGCAGCCTTGGCCAAGTTCCTACTTCCCCTCAGGCCTCCTGTGTCCCCCTGTGCTGCGGAGTGGTCTCCCAGGGCCATGGGAGGCCGTGTGCACACACACAGGTCAGGGGCGCAGTGAGGGCTGTGGGCCGGCCCTCGGCCACTGCAGGGGAGGGGCACACCCAACAGCCTTTGCGCTCTCCTGCCTGGTTCTCTGACATGGAGACCCCAGGCTTTCCCCATCAATCCATGGAGAAGGGAAGGGAGGCTTTCCAGAGAGGTGGTGACGGTAACGAGGAGGGACCTCCTCTGAGAGGTGGGCTGAAGGCCGTGAAGGGACCTGGACTCAGCTCAGGTGTGCACACCGACCCTCTCTCACCTCTCTCCTTACCCTTCTGTGCCTTTCTCTGGAGGCCCTGAGGCTGGCCCCTCCTTCCTCTGAGCCCTCATGGCAGACTCCTGGAGGAGGCTTCTCTTCGTAAGGGCACATTTCTGGGTCAGCGAATCCTTCATCCCTGATGTGGGCATCTCCCCAGCCCCAGAGGGTCTAAAGGGACCCGAATACTGGAGGAGGAAGAGCAGGACCGCAGCGGGGTTCAGCCATGTTTCCATCTCTTGTCATTTAGTGTACTCACAGTGTGCATGTATGCACACACGTGTGTGTGCGTGTGTGTAGCTGCGTGTGCACAGAAAGAGACACGGAGCCAGCCATCATGTACTGTCTGTTCTCTGGGAGCTGCTGCCCCCACCCCCAGTCTGCTTGCCTCCTTTTATTTAAGAAAAATCCGACACAGTGGTGGGTAGAACCCGAGAAAAAAGTGACTGCGGGACGGGGTGGGGAGACCCCCGGCTCCCTTCTGCCTTTGCCCATCCCAAGGTCCTTCACAGCATTCCCTGGTGCCCTCTCTCCCCCTCCCCCGGGATTCCGCGTCGTGGGGGAATGGGTGGCTGCCCCTGCAGAGAGGAAGGAGTGACCGGTCGGCAGAGCGGGAGAAGCGGCTAAGGCGTAGTGTTGACCTTGCTGTGGGGTGGGCAGGAGGCACCCAGGCTTCCCTGGGCGGGCCCAGACCACAGTGCTCTGGGGCATGGCTTGGCTAGGGGCGGACAGAGGACTCCTCCCCCTTTAGCCCCTGTCCACAGCCCTTGGGACAGAGGAGGGAGTCCTGAGATCTCAGGAAAGCGCCCAGCTTGGCCCCAGACCCCTCTGTACAGTCAGCTCCCAGGTCCTGGGAAGGGACTGGGGGGTACCCAGAAGCCAGCAGATGCTACAAGTGTCCCCCACCGCCCAAATGTCTTGTCCACAGCAAGATCCTTGGCAGGGCAGGCAGCCACCGCCCCCCACCCTGCAGGACAGAAATCCCTGAATAGTGGTTTGAGAGAAGTCTTTGTGCAACTTGTGACACAAGACCCCCGGTGCCCCCTGCACGAGGGGAAGACAAGGGACATGGGAGGCGGGGGCGGGGCACAGTGTGGGCCCACCTCGCCCCAGGCGTGGCCTCCTTGCCTCACTCTTGGGGCAGGGGGCTGTCTAAGACGGGAGGAGGTTTGGAAAGGGTAAAAGGTGGGCTGGGACTGCTTTCCCGCTAGCCAGCTCCTGGAGGAAGGCGCCCTCCACCTGCGGGCAGAAGAAGGTACCGTGAGGCAGCGGGAAAGGCCAGACAGGGGAGGCGCCCGCCCGGCACAGAGCCAAGCTGCCGGGGCGGGGAGTACAAAATCCACTTCAGCCGCGCGCGTCAGTGTGAGCGGGGTGCCGGCTGTGTCCACGCAGAGCCCACCCCCGGGGGGACGGCGCCTCTACGCAATCTCTTTGATTCTGCGCGTGTAATTGTGCAGCTCCGGGGGCGGCGTGGGCCGCGTGGTGCCCGCCACATCCGGGCAGCCCCAGCCCAGGTCCTCCTCGTCCTCCTCGTCCTCCTCGCCGGCTGGCACTGAGTCATAGGCCAGCTCCTCCGTGGGCAGTGTGGTGAAGGTGGTGAACTTGACCCGCTTGCGCTTGGAGGTGGGCGAGCTGGCGGGGTCCTCGGCCTGGTCCCGGGCCGAGCCGCCCGAGGAGCCGTCGCCGCGCCCGTGCACCTGGCTCTGGACGCTGGTCTGCGAGCTGCCGCTGCTGTGGTGGTCGCCGTGGCAGCAGGCGGGCACGGTCTCCAGCGGGTTGCCGGTGGGCGGCGCCAGCTCTGCCTGCACGCGCAGCGGCTGCCCGTTGCCCAGGAACACCCAGTGGTGCGAGTGGTCCATGCTGGTCTGGCCCTCGGGCGGGATGCGCTTGTGCCGGTAGCGCAGCACGAAGACGATGCAGTTGATGAGGAAGACGAGGATGGCGAGGCAGAAGACGCCCAGCAGCGCGTACATGCCGATCTCCAGGTCCGTCAGGCCCCGTGGCATCTGCAGGAAGCCGGTGGGCAGCGGCAGGAAGTCCTCTGTGGGCGGCACGGCCGGGCTGGCGGTGCCGGGGCCCGGGGCCGCGGGTGGGGGCACCGCTGTGCCCGGTGGGCCGGCTCCCCGGGCCTCGTCCTCGCCCCCGCCGGGCCCCGGCTGGCTGGGGCCGGGGTAGTCGTAAGTGGGGTCCTCCTCGTCCCGCCCAAAGTGCACCCGCAGGCCCACGGGGGTCGTGGCCAGCACGCTCTTACGCTTGGTTTTCTGGCAGCCCTCAGCGATGGTGAGCTCTGCGCGGAGCAGCTCTCCTGCCCCCTCCGCCTCCGCCACCACCAGCGGGAAGGCCCGGTCTTGGGTCACCGTGGCCACCCGCTCATCCAGGCTGCTTACCAGCAGCCCATAGTCCCGGGGGCTGTAGAGGGAGAGTGGGGCCGTGGTGCCATCACTGTAGGAGAGCCAGAGGCTCAGGAGGGCTTCCTGGAGGAGGAGGAGAAGGGTAGAGGAGTCAGAGAGCTAGTCTGGCTTGCTTCCCTGCTAGATGCAGAGCTCTGTGAGGGCGAGGACCAGGGTGCTCTATATTCCCAGCGCTGGAACTGTGCCTGGTAAGTGGCACGTGCTCAGGAACGATGGAGTGGAAGTCCTCCTCTGGAGGTTGTGGGGAGGGTACAGGGCACATATGGCCTCTTCCTGCCTGGAGAATTTCCTTGCCCGTGTCACCCCTCTCCCATTGATGAGCTGAAGCTAAGTCCTGCCTAGGGTCTAACTCAAGTCTCTTTTGCTGCAGAAGTACCCCTATATCCCCACACCTGACTTTAGGATCACCCCATCAGACATGTGGAGACTGAGAATATATACCCAACCCCAGCTTTCTCCTCTGTTTTTTAAAACCCCCTGAGAACTGCCCTCCCTGCAGATGAGGAAGCGGGGCCCAGAGAGAAGGGATTGGCCTGGGGTCACTGGTTAGGGGCAGAGGGCTCCTGGCTCCTGGCTGGGTGCTCAACACCCACCTTCTCATCCCGCCTGTCACCTTTCCACCTCTGTCCTGTAGCCAGTGCCCTGGTGTGTCTGTGGGTGGCTGTGGTTGGGGCTCCAGAGGTAGATGAGGATAATTCCTGGGGGTGGAGGCAGAGGTGGCGGGCCCTCTGAGAATCCGGGAGGGGGAGCCCTCAGCAGGAACGTCTAGGGGACTGGTGCGGGGAGCAAGCCCTTGGCCAGATTCCCTGTGCAGGAGATGGGGGACAGGGTAGGGCAGGCTTGCAGGGCACGAAGGGCAGATGGATCTCCCACTACCTAAAGCCCTAATTAGGAGGACTCGTGGCCCAAGGGCAGGCCGGAGCCTGCAAGTCCTCCTTCTGCAGCCTGAGCCCCCAGGCTGGCAGGCTGGGCATCCGCTTACCTGCTTGAGGAAGCTGAGGGTCTGCTGGGCGGCGGTGGTGGCCAGGATGGTGTGGCTGCTCCCGGGGCTGGGCCGCAGGGAGAGGGCGAGGCTGGCCACCACCTGGGCCTGCAGCTGCGTGATGCTGACCTTCTCCTCTGTCACCGTCAGCAGCGTCTCCCCCAGCACGGACTCCGTCAGCGGGGACACCACCTGAGGCAGAGTGGGGCAGGGGTGGGGGAGCCAGGGAAGCAGCAGCCCCAGGATCCCCAACCAGGGGGCAGCCCACGCTGCTGGAAGAGGCCCAGGGGGTGGGGCGGGCTGGGAGGCAGGACCCGGGCTCTGCCTAGGTCTGCAACGGGGAACCAGGGTCCAGATGTCAAGCGAGGATCAGAGGCTAACAGGAGCCAGGCAGGGACACAGATGAGAGGGGTGGGCAGATTTTAAGGAAAACAATAGCCCCCCCTCCACCGTGATAATTAGTAATTGATGTTCAGCCTCAATGTCGGGGAGACAAAAAGGAGCAGTGGGGACTGTGGCCAATAGAACTCATGCTCATGTAAAGGGGGCACCAGTATCGGCCCCAGCAGATTATCGCCAGGTAGGAACGCAGACCCAGTATTGCCAGATTCATATTTTGTAAAACCAGAAATCTAGATTAAAAAAATAAGAAGTCTCCCAATTTTTAAATGTTGGATCGACTGTTTTACAAACGAATGTGTTTGCAGGCAGATTCCAGCTCATAGGTCACTACGTACAATCTCTCAGGTGGATGATTTCTACCCAGGCACCCACTTATCAGGGAGGAAGGTCAAATGTGAGTTTCTAGATCCTGAACTCCCTTGCCTGGCCTCTAGGCTGGCTGACCCCTCACCTGTCCCCCTGCTCATCCACACCTGCCCTCAGAGACCACACTGAGCAACGCAAGGCCGATAAAGGTTGACAAGACATGGAGGGTGAACCTTCACAGCCATGAAGCTGAAGGAGCTTGACCTCTGATGACAAGATTTCAGGCGGAGGGGCAGGTGGGGAAGACAGTGTTTTTTGGGGGCCGGCTGGGGCTGCTCTCGGAGGCCGAGGCCCTGGAAATCCTGTCCTAGGAACATCTGCGTTCTCCGCCCACGGGTGAACAAGGCTCCCGGCACTGCCCCCCGTGCCCACCTTGAAGGGGGTGGTGCCCGGCTCCAGGCCGGCCAGCGTGCTGCTGTCCACCATGCGTGCCACTCGGGGGTCGCCCACCCGCATGAAGTCGCTGACCAGGTCGGTGACCTCCACCAGCCAGTCAGGACCCAGCATGGGGACCACCTGGTCGGTGCCCTCAGCCGACGTCGTGTGAAACTGGGTGAAGACCTGCAGCGTGGCGTGCTGGTACTGCAGGGCGCAGCCGCGGCTCGCGCTCTGCCGCCGCTCCTCCTCCTCCTCCTCCTCGTCCTGGCTCTCCCGGGCTGACCTGGGCGGGGAGGCACAGGGTCTGACCCCTGTCCGGCCGGCCCCTCCCCGGCTCCCGCGGGTGGAGTGGAAGCTGTGCGCACAGCAAGGCGTTCCCCTGCCTCGCTCCTCTCCAACAAGCCAGGAGCCAGGAGCCTAGGCTTCCTCTCCTGGAAAGATGCCTTCCTGACCCTCCCCTCTCCCTGTCCCCTCTGCTTGGCCTCACCCACACCTGCAAATAGCTGTCATGAAACGCTAACCAGGGCTGCCTCCTTCTCAGCACTGAGCACGCGCACGGCCCTGTTCTCAGCTCTGAGCTGGAGCAAAGGCGGTCCTCGTCCCACGGGGCCAGAGAGCTCAGCTGAACTGCCTCCTACAGCGGCGTGGCCAGCAGGATGTGTAAGCGAGGAGCCGGGATAGTTAGCAGAAGAGATTTCCACGCCAAGCGTGGAAGGTGCAGCCTGGCTTCCTCTTGCTGCTTACGGTAAAATGGGGGAGGAGAGAGAGGAATCGAGGGAAGAACTGGTAAGCAAAAGGGAACCAGGACTTGATGATTTGGGAGCGTCTCAGCCTATTCAGACTGCCCAAAATGCTGAGACAGGAGATGCACTGTCAGGAGAGCGTGCTCTGGACCGAGAGGGAAGGGCGTGGCTACTGCTTTGCTAGTGTTTCGAAGGATCAACCAACCGGAACATTCACCCCCACAGGGGGCTCTTTTACCTGCGTTAACTAATTTAATCCTCACAACCATCCTATAAGGTGTTACCATGCTCATTTTACAGATGAGCAAACTGAGGCACAGAGAGGTTATGTAAGCAGCCTAAGGTAACCCAGCCAGTAAACAGCAGAGTCAGGATTTAAACCCAGCTGCCTGGCTTCAGAGTTCACTACGTCCTCACTACTCAAAGTAGCATCAGCATCCCCCGGGAGCTGGTCCAAAATGCAGCATCTCAGCCTGCACCCCAGACTCACCGAATCAGAATTTGCACTTTAACCAAATCCTCAGGACACTCGTGTGCACATGAAAGTTTTAGAGGCCCTGGTCTACACTGCCTTGCTTTTCCAAATCTCTGCAGAATTGAACTGAGTCCAACGTGGCTTGCTTCTCCCTCCAGCCCCGACCCTCCGGCTCTTGCTGCCTGACACCCTTCCTCTCTGCTCTTCCCTGCTGGCCTTTCTCTCCAGCAGCGAGGAGAGCGTGAGTGGAGTGAGCTGAGCACACATGTACGTGCCCCACAGACAGGCATGCAGGTGTGTGAGTCACCATGTGCCTGAGCTCATGTGCCCACAAGGCTGGGGCACACGTGTACAGGTGTGCGTGCTCCTGTGTTGGTGTGTCTGCTTCATTTTGTCTGCTGCTTCACTGCTCTCTCATCCTGTCTCCCTGGCCAACTCCTTTCCACCCATCCTTTAAGAGTTAGCTCAAGAGCCACCTCTTCCGGGAAGCCTGCCTTGACTTCTCCTGGAGGAAAAGGTGGTTTTCTTCTTTGTGCCACTCAATTCTCTGCACACGGGGCTTCCTGCATCCACCATGCTCTGTGGCACATACATGACGGCTTCCCTGATGGACCCAGAGCTTGGCTGGACCAGGCACCAGCCACACTCACCCCATGTCTTAAGCACCCATCAGTGCCTGGCACATAGCAGCTACTCAATAAAAGTTTGTAGACTGTATAACCAACCTGCAGACTGTACCTAGTGCCTTACACCCACGTGCGGATCAGACTGTGTGCAGGGCTGTGTCACCCACGAGTATCCCGAGTATCCGCTGTGTGGAGGGGCTGTACCTCCGGTTGGGGAGGATAGGTACCCTCCAGCCCTTCACTTGGCTGAGGCGGGCATCCGAGAGCTCGATGTGCAGGGGCAGCTTGGGGACCCAGACTGTCATTTCCAGGGGGGCATTGAGGACATCGTAGCGGAAGGTGACCCTGGCGTTCATGGACCCGCGAGATTCCTTTCCACTGACAAACACGTAGTCACAGCTGCTGGATACCTGGGGAGGAGGAGGGAGGGTGGTTGGCCCGTCTTGCCCTACGGTCATCCTTCAAGCAGGGCCAGAAGGCCGCTGGAGAGAGAAAGTGCCCGTCATGGGAGGCTGAAGGGTAGGACAAGGCACCTAACCTAATTCCTCTGGGAGATGTCACTTCCAGTGTCCCTGCTTCCAGCCCATTTCTCAAGAGATCATCTCTTAGTGGCTACTGCAGGAGGTTTATCCTCCCTGGCAAGGAGCCAACGTGCGAATGTTTTTCTGAGGGGCTGCTTGTGATGTGCCAGGCCACACGGCAGAGGAGCGTTGAGGCTGAGGGTCCCCAGGGCTGGCTCCCCTCCCCGGCATGACCACCTGGGCTCTGGAGCAGGTGTCTGGCGGGTAGCGCCCTCCACAGTACAGAGGAGCAGCCCGTCCTGGGCAGGACACTGGTGCTCAGCTGGGCACGGGGTGAGAGGCAGGCAGCCCCCAGGAGAATGGGCAGCTGGTTAATTTCAGCTGAGGGGGCTGCTCTAGCCAGGGGTGGAGGTGAGGGCAGGGGAGAGGGGAAATCAGGACCAGAGCACCCCCAGCACAGACAGCTGGATGGTCGCACCAGTGGTGCACTTTGCAAATGCATGCCCACCTGGGTACCGACTCGCATTCTTAGAGGTTCCCGGATGGGCATGTGCCTGCTGAACACATCTTGGAGGATACCTGTGCCTACTCACTACTTACTGTGCCAGTACTTGAGGGTAGATGCAGATGGGTGTGCGTGTCAAACGTGCCCACGTATACACCTGGCACACCCAGGAGGGAAACCTGTGTGCAACGCGTGTAGGTGCTTCTGCTGGTACATGCCCGTGGGGACACACCCTCGCCTCTGGAGGAGGGTCTATGACGCAGCCTGTGGGCTGATGACACCCTGAAGGCTCTGGTGGGAGGAGGGGAGGGTGCTGGGACTGCGGCTTATCTGTGGAGCTGGGTCCGTGGACCATGCCAAACTCCTGCTAGCTCTCTTAATCATCCGGGGGCGGGGGGGAGGAAAGCAGGACAGCAGCCCTGCCAGAAATGCTCATTTCCCACTTTGGAAGGCAGAGAATTCCATCCAAAGGCTGGCAAATTCCATTTAGAATGTTGGCAAACTCCATACAGAACCTGAGTGTATTTCATTGAGAACGGAAACAGATTCCATTTAGAATCTTCGCTAATTCCCTTTGTATCTAAGCCACCACGACTGTCTTCTGGTCTGCTCTGGGCTGGGGTGGGGGTGTCTGGGTGGCAGAGGAAGGTGCTGGGTGAGGACTCCTGGGAGCAGGCCCGTTTCTTCCTGTCCCAGCCTGCCAGCAGTGGAGAGCCCCACAGGCAAGGCTTCCACTCTGCGGGAGGTGATGGGGGTGGGTACCAAGCCATCTACACTGGCTCACTTGGAGGGCCTTGTTCCTGGGGCGGAGGATAAGCCTGGGGCTCCCCAGACCTGGAGGGATCCAGGGCAGAGGGTGGAGAGCGAGCATATACTCCAGGCTCACCAGAGAGCCACAGGGAGAAGGACCCCCACCTCCCCACTCCTCCCGTTCTCTTTCAAGCTGTACTTACAGGAACAGGAAGCAAATTTGGTTGTCTCATCATCTGATTTTGGCACCTGCTGGAGGCTAGCATGGCAAACACCTCACCCACCCCACAGGTTCCAGCGCTGGACACCATCTGGCATCACTGCCCACTCCACTGCCTCTGACCCCTGTCCCAAGCCAGGGAAAGGGGCAAATCTGAAGGCCCTCCTGGGGGAGGTGGCAAACAGGGCCACTGGAGTCAGATCAATGCCCTGTTTGCTGGGCCCTGGAGGCCCTGGGGCCCAGAATGGGTCTCTGGGGAGGAGCTGAGGGAGGGGCCTTCGGGAGTGGGAGGAGTCGGGGTGTGTGTGCTGGAGAGGGCCCTTCCTCACACAGCCTTCACTCCTGGCCTAACTCACGTGCTTCCGGGGGCTTCCTCCCTGCGCTGGATCTCCTCCACTTAGTCACCAGCGCCCAGGTTCAGGGCGTGTCTCTGAGGGCTGCCCCCATCACCTCGCCCAGTGTCTGTCACACAGCAGGGGCCCAATAATGACATGCTGGACTAGACTGAGTTCAGGTTGTCAGTGCTGCCTTCTCCCCTTGGCCTGCCAAATGGTCTCGTCCACATTCCTGCAGGAAGCCCTCCAGGACCGTCGGAGCAGTACCCAGGGCTCTCCCTCACCCGGTCAGACAGGGGATGCCCACAGCCCTTCCCGGCACCTGCACCCCATTTCCCCTCCTCTTGCCTACCAAGGGGACCTGCCTGGGATATGAATTCTGCTCCCCTGAAGGTCTGAGGCCCCCTTCCCAGGGGCCCCGCCTCCAGGAAGCCTACCTTGATGATGTCCTCATTGTCAGACTCGCATTCCACCAGGGCAGAGACGTCTAGGACAAGGCCGGTCACCTCGATGGCGATGACCTTGACAGGGATGGCCACTGTGCGGCCGGTCAGGATGGCCGTGTTGATGATCTCCGTGTCCTGCGGGAGGAGAGGAGGGTGGGGCTCTGCTGAGCCGGGGTGCTCGCGGTCCCCTGCTCTCCCAGGACGCGCCAGCCCAGGCCCTGGCTCCTGGCTGTCCCCACTCCTCAGATGTGCGTCCTTCCCGTGGGGACACCTGCACACAGGGGCAGAGAGGTGAATCCACTTGGCCTCACTCACCTTCTGGGATGCTCTGCCACTCGGACTGCTGCAGAAGCCTTCAGGGTATACCTTACTCCGCTGCCAGAAAACAACCCTTTCCCAGTCCCCTACTGTCTTCTCTCAGCATCTGCCATGTTCAGGACTCACAGGGGAATGTCCCACACATTTGCCTGGTCATTCCAGGTGCCCCCAGGCTGGCCCAGACCATCATTCCAGCCTTCCCACCCCACAAGCCTCTTCCTGAACCCACTGCTCCCTTGAACAGACGACTCATATTCCCATCACTGCACCTCTGCCCACATGATCCCCTGCCTGGAGCACCCTCCTTGTCTTCTCCGAACTGCATGGCACCTCCTCCAGGAAGCCTCCCCTGAGTGGTCCCTCCATGCTGACTTCTCCCATCTCTGTCCCCTCAGCATCTGCTGTCCCACTGCAGCACCAGGTGCAGAGCACCGCCCGCCTCCTGTGAGTACACACACACTCACACGCCTTTACACACGGGCACACCTGGGCTTGGGAGGTAGTCACACACTCAGGTGCTGGCTCACACACGCGTGTGCATGGATGTGCACGCACGCTCAGCTGTGCGCATTCCCGTCACACGCACCCATGACAGACATGGGCATCCACGGGCCTGTCACCTGCCCTGCTCACCATGGCCAGGGGCAGGATGGCCTGCACATCCCGCTGGATGACCGTCAGCTCGGTGACCGCCCGCTCCAGGTCCGGCAGGGCGCCGTGGCCACGGTAGTCGATGTGCCACATGATCCTCCGCTTGACTGACTGGCTGGTGAAGTTCTCCATCTCAAAGTCCAGCTGCAGGATCTCCAGGGGCCCCTGGCCCTCCCTGGGGGGTGGGGAAAGGAAGCAGAGCTGAGGAGGGAGGGCTGGGAGCAGCTCAGGAGCTCCGGAACCCCAGGTGGGGACCCCAGTCCCCCTCAGCAGCCTGCCTTCCGGGGCCCTCTGAGCCTTCTGCAGCCACCTGGGGGGCCCCAGCCTGGACTCGGAGTACCCATAAACTAAGCCCCAGCCCTCCCGCCAGCCTGGCCTCCCCCACCAAGAGTTCCCCCACCCCTTCAAGGTGCCTGTCCTGCAAAGAGGTAGGCAGAGGGCCACCTCGGCTCACCAGGGGGGCAGGGGTGTGCCCTGGGCCCAGGTCACGTCCACAGTGGCCGTTGAGTGCTTTGCCCCAGTCAGCAGCTCCGACGTCACGTGCCACTGGCGGCTCCGTGACTTGGTGCCTAGAAGGGTCACACCCTTCTTGGCTTTCACCCTGGGACAAAGTGGGAGGAAGAAGAGGGAGAGGCTCAGCCCAGGGCCCAGTGGCTGCCCACTGGGCCACCACCCCTAGGCTGGGGCTGGGAGCAGGGGAGCAGGTGAGTAAGTTACCCTGGGTCCTAGACTCAAAGCCTGAGACTAATCTAGGGAGTCTGGCGTCACAGGGCTGCAACCTCTGACCCTCACTGGAGCTGCAATCACTTCTACCATATCTCTGCCAAGTCCACCTAACCTCTACCTGCATACTTTAGTGACAGGGGACTCACTACTTCTGCACACATCCCACTCCATTTTCAGAAAGTCCCTAAGGACTAGAAACGTCTTCTCTGTATTTAGCTGAAATATAACGGCCACGGGTTCTGCTTGGGCAAGAGAGAACAACCCTCCTCCATCTTAATTTTAACGGTTCTTCAGAATGCTGGGAACATGAGCAGCTGTTCTCTGAGTCTTCATTCTCTAGGCCTAAAATCTCCAGTTCCTCCAATTGTTGCTTTTTGCCATAGTTTCAAGTCACTCCTATCCTAGTCACCCTCCTCTGGACACTCTGAACACACAAGGTGTAGTGTCCTCTACTAAATACAACACGTCAGCTGTGCTCTAATTAGCAGTGACTAAAGCAGAATGATTATCACCTCCCTAATTCCACATGCTCTACTCCAATTAATGCAACCCAAGATCTCTGATGACTTATTTAACTCATATTCACCTTCACATATCAATCATTGAATCAGGTATGATCCTGTCCAGAAATATTTGAACTTTAAGGAAGTACACTCAGGAGAGAGGGCAACACTTAACTCCAAGAAGTTGGAGGCTAATGCTGATGTTTCAGGTCCCATGCATAGTGCTTGGGGTCAGGGGGGCATTTTTGTGGGGCCTTTTCTATGAATCACCTACCATGGCTCAAACCACGGATTCCTACTGTGAGACATCATTATAATCTGTGGGGATGTGATATGATTTAATGATCTGTGAGATATGGAGGTAGGGGCAGAAATTTTGTTGCCATTAGACAGATGAGAACACTGAGGCTCCCATAAGTGAGGCATCTTCCCGAGGCTGGTCAAGCGATAAATGGAAGAGCTGGGCTGGGATTAGGATGCTGGACAGGCAGGTCTGGACGAGCCCCTACAAGGGTCAGTATGCATTTGAGCTTGGAAGGGAAGCCAGAGCCCCAGCCCGTAACCTCCTACCTGAGTGTGAAATGCTCGACGCCGGGGCCGGAGGGAGAGGAGGAGTTGGGGGCCAGGTAGAGGAGGATGCTGAGCACCTCCCCGGGCTTGAGGGGCCGGTCGGGCAGGCGGATCATCAGGTTGCTGTCCAGCCTGTGCTCCTGCAGGGTCCTCTTGGGGGGCGGGCGGAACAGGCTGATGCTCCCGATGCGCAGCAGGGGGTGCTGGGTGGGGCTCTCGGCCCGGGCCCCAGCCCCCGGCCCCGGCCCCCGCCGGGTGCCCCCACAGCCCCCCGCCGCGTCTGGGGCGTGGAGCGTGTAGTAGAGCTCAGCCTGCTGGCTCTCCCCCGCCGCCTCGGGCTCCAGCCCGTCTGGGGACTTGCGGCGGGCCGGGGGAGGCGCGGCCGGGGCAGGGGGCCCAAACCAGGCGAGGGGCAGCTCGGCCCGCACGAGGCAGGTGGCCAGGCCCCCGCTGAGGCGGCAGGAGCTCTTGACCTCCCGCGCGTCCCGGAAGGCGTGCAGGCGGACGCACGGCAGCCGCTCGGTGACGCCAAAGTCATCCCAGTCCCGGCCGGCCACGTAGAACAGCACCTGGGCCACCGGCTGCGAGGCGGGCACGCGGGCGCGGACGATGAAGGCCCGCACCTTCCAGTTGACCGTCAGGCGCTCGGGGATGTCCAGGGTGCTGGACGGCTGCAGCAGCTCCCGGGCCACCACCTGGCTGGTGCTGAAGGGCCCCAGGGAGACGTTGAGGACGGGCAGCTCCTTGGTCTGGAACACCACGAAGGGCTCGGAGCGCTGCAGGGAGCCATTGGTGACCGCGGGCGGCGGGGGCCGCGTCTCCCGCAGGAAGAAGGCCAGCCGGGTGTGCGACAGGCGGTAGCTGACCGGCAGCACGGGGCTGGCCGGCGGCCCCGGGGGGCTGGGACTGGCCGGGTGGGAGCGGCTGGAGGCTGGGGACAGACAGAAAGAGGCCCAGAGTGGTCAGGAGAGGCTGCGCTGGGATCCCAGGGCACCCCAACCTCCCACCCTCACAGAGGGCCGCCCACTCCCTGCCGGCTTTACATCCTCGGGTGGGCCCGGGGCCAAGCTGCCCAGGCTCCAAGCCTGGCCCCACCTTTGCTGGTGCGTTAACTGCCCTCCTTCCGCTGCTTCATTTCTTTATCTGCCACGCGGGGGTAAAGCTAATTCCAGCGCAAAGCACCGCAAAGCTTTCAAGAGGTTTCATCCCCTGGCGTCCTCAATGTAACATGAGTAGAACAATTCTTCCTGCCTCCAAGTGCCACTGTGAGGACTTACCGAGCCGTGTGCATAAGGGCTGAGAGCCGAGTGTGGCACCGAGGAAGCGCTAACTCCTACGTTATCGCGCGCTCAGCTCAGTGATCACAGGCACGTGCTCATCTGATCCTCAGGTCGATCCTCTGAGCCAGGTGTGATTATGATCTCCATCGTTCAACCAGTTTTCTACCAGTGACTTCTCTTTTTTTGAGAGCCTATTCTTGCATCTTACAGATAAAGGTGCAGGATGCTTAAGTAACTTACCGAAGTGACCGGGGCCAAAGGGGCCAGCAGTGGGATTCGAACCTGGGGCCACCTGACTCTCAAACGCAGCCCTTTCCTGCTCCAGCTGCCTCAGACGGGGCAGGGTCCCAGGGATGCTGTATCTCCCCCGCTCCCTCCAGACACCACCACACACGGCGTACATGGGGAACTGGATCCTCAGTCTCACAAGCCCGGATGTGGGCTCCGGGTGGCCTTCTCCCTGCTCTCGGCCCTCCCCACCCTCACAGGATCCTGCCCTGTTCCGGCAATTCTATGTCCCCACTCGCTGGTACGTCCCGGGCTGCCCCCTGTCCTCCATCCCAGGCCCCAGCCCCGGTTCTGGTCTCGCTCTTGTTGCGATGACAACGTGACACCACCTAACTGAGTCTCCCTCTCCTCAGCTCACCCCCTTGCTGGCACCCCCTCCCACACACAGCAGTCAGAGGGATTTGTTTCTTCCGGACACAAATCGGACCTTGTTAGCCCCTCGCTCCCAGCTCAACACCTGTTGGCCACTGTCAAGGATCTTCCCATGGACCCTGAGTGGTGTTCCTCACCTTTGAAGTCAGGGTAATAATAATAATTCGGGTCTTGCAGGATGTTGTGCTGTCACTTCTTTTGTTTTTGAGAATCAAATAAGAAAGCGTTTTTTAAATCTTGCAACACAGTGCAAATGTGTGTAAGTATTATGAAAGGATCTCTCCCTCCTGCTTACAAAATAAAATCCAAACAGCTTTCACCTGAGCATGGCATTCAGGGCCCCTACAACGGGGTTCCAGGCCCCTCTTTCCCCAAGACTACTCCTCCCAAGCCCCTGCTGCCAGCATGACTGGAAAATCTGGCTTCAGTGCTGGCTGATGCCGCCTTATCTCCCCTCCTCTGCGCATGCTGCACCCTCTGCGTCAAATTCCCTCCTTTCCTATCTGCACACACCCAAATCCTTTCCTATCTGCACACACCCAAATCTGAATCCTCCTTTGAGGTCCAGCTTGAACGCTACCTCCTCCATGAAGCCCTCCGAGACGTGACCTCTACTCCTGGGAATGTCTTCAGAGCTTTGCCCTTCTCTGAGGGGACCTCTCATCCTGCCTTGCATGGGAGTTATCTACGAGGCCTTGTACTGAGCAAGCCTTCAACAAATCATGGTGGATCCACTGAGTGATTCACAGAGATCTGTGTCCCAAGGAGGAGACTCCTAATCAATGCTATGGTCGCTGCTTGCAGTTTATGCACATTTATCATTTTAGCACTGTCAATGAAACCTCAACAGCTCCACAAACACCCACAACCCATTCCTCATAAACGCAATGAGTTAAAAATTCCCTGCTCTTGAGGCGCTGGGGTCTACTTCCTACTTTTTAAATCTGTGGTTTAATTTTCTCATTTAAAAAATGAGGCCATTGGTTTGGGGAATGCAAAGGCCCTGGGGTCAGGTGTTCTAGGAGGAGTGGCACTTGGTCTCAGTGTGCTTCCTTAGGGCTCCTCCTGAGCAGCCCTTAGGACCAGCTGGGGAATCTGCTGGTCCCTGGTCCCCCGGGCAGCCCATGCTTTAACCTCCAGATGGCTCCCTCCATTCCAGGAGCACTCTGTTCCCAGACACCCTTCCCCACTAGACGCTCTGCAGCCCTGCAAGGTATGCCGGCTGCTGACGGTGGGCAGCCGAGTCCCAGATGAGGACAGGAAGGTGCTTGGAGAGATGGGGAGAGCCTTCCTGGCTGGCGCCTGGAATCCCTGCCCCACAGTTGGCCCTGGAGTCTCTGAGAAGGTGTCCCTGCCACCCGAAGGCGCGTGTGTGGGATCTGGGTAATGACCTGAGCACGGGCACAGCAGCCAACCTACTGCTTTGGCAGCAGCAGCAGATGCAGGCAAACAGGGACTCGCGTTCCCAGCTTCTCCCAGCCACTCTCACCGGGCAAGTGCTTCCCATTTTGAGCCTTGGTTTCCACCTCTAAGATGGAGGTGGTGACATCAGTCCCCTCGTAGGCACGTCAAGAGCAGCTAAAAAACCCAGGGGAGGAGGGGGCACTGCTACCTGTGGTGGGATGTCCAGGGCCGCTGGGGACGGGGCCGAGACAGGAGGGGCCCCCGTGCTTGTCCGCTGGGGCTGGAGATGGGCAGCTGCTGTCCCTGAGCTGTAAGTGCTCACCTTCCAGGCCGGGGTGGACAGGGTGGGGACGTGGAAGTCAGACCATCCCCAGGAGAGGCTGCTAAGTGGCACTTAGTCCCCTCTGAAGCTCTCACCGTCCCGACCTCATGGCTGGCCATCTGGACCCCTTGGGGGCGCACTGAGGGAGGGGCCCCCAGATGGGCAGTGGGCTCAGGGGGCGTGGAGGAAGGGACTGGAGGACCCTGTTTGCATGCACCCTCTGCCCTCAGCAGACTTTTGTTGAATGAATGGGATTCTCTTAATGAGCTGCCCAGCACGGGCTGGGATGCCGTGGGCCGGGGGTCTCCCTGATGAGGCACCCAATGGGAGCCTGGATGCACGGAGAGGAGGGCTCCTGGCACAGGGCGGAGGCCCTCTCAGCAACCTTGCAGCCAAGCAGACTGAGTTTCTAAAAGGAGAAGCAACTTGTGGTAAGAAAACAGCTTGCTTTCAAAAAGGGGAGCCAGAAAAGATGCTATTGGGGGACTCCAGTTCTTGTATGTATGTCACTGTGACACGCAGCACCCCTTCCCATCACCACCGCGGATCACTCTATCCCCTGGGGCCCTGAGGCCTCCTCTCTGGCGGAGCAGAGGGTCCCTGAGACCCCAGCCCCAATCTCTGCTCTCCGTTCATTTGCTCTGGAGCCTAAAGGAAGTCACTTGACCTCTCTGGGTCCCAGGGAGGTGGGGGAGGCCCTGGAGGATTCTGGTGTGGTGGAGGCTGGGGGGCAGGAAGGTGGGTCTGGTGGAATTGACAGCAGATCATTCGGTCAAGCTTTCAGAGGCCCTATGTGTGAATGTATGCATGCACGTGTATGTGTGTGCTAACGTGCGTGCCAGCCTGCGTCTCACACGGAGCTCTAACCTCCACACATCGTGGCTCTGGACATGGGCTTGGGAAGGAAAAGTTGCTGGAAGGTTCCCTGAAGGAAGACGGATGGGGGAGGGAAGGATCAACACAGAGCAAGGTCAGGCCAGGTCTAGAGGTCGGGGAGGAGCTTCAGGGCTGTGACCCGGGTAGACATGACCGCCTGGACCCACTCTGCCTTGGTCACACTCGACACCCTCCAGACTGACTGGGGAGCGCGCGCGCACACACACACACACATACACACACACTCGTGCTCACATGCAGGCTGGCACCTGCCTGCGCCTCAGACCCCACACCCTGCAGCCTAGAACAGTTCCACGGGCCTGGTTCTGAGCCCCGGCCGCCCCTGCCTCTCGCCCTGCTCCCCTCCGCTCCCCAGACTCCAGGCTCCACCGGCTGCACTTGTGTTCCAGCCCCGCTCGACCTCGGGGCCAGACTTAGTACCGTCTTCCTGTCCACAGCCTCAGCTCTCCCGGGAGCAGCTGTCAGACTCCCCGTCTACACAGCCTCGGGCCTCAAGAATTGTGTGGGTCCAGCACTGGTATCCTCCCCCTTGCTCCATCTCCCTACAGAAGCGGCTTCTCCATGTTTCCTTGGACTCCTGAGGGGTGTTACGGGCTGAGCTGTGCCCCCCGACCCCGGATTTTCACATGTGGAAGTCCCAACCCCGTAACTCAGGATGTGACTGTGTTTGGAGACAGGGTCTTCATGGAGGTGATTAAGTTAAAATGAAGTCATTAGAGTGGGCCCTAATCCAGTATGACTGGTGTCCTTATAAGAAGAGGAGATTAGGACACAGACACACACAGGGAGGACCACGAGAAGATACAGGGGAAGACGGCCCTCTGCTAGCCGAGGAGAGAGGCCTCAGGAGAAACCAGCTCTGCTGGTGGCGCCTTGATGTTGGACTTCTAGCCTCCAGAATGGGAGAAAGTACATTTCTGTTGTTTTAGCCACCCAGTCTCCGGTACTTTGTTACGGCAGCCCGAGCAAACTCATACATGGGGACTGGCTATTTCTGCCCCTCACGGCTTCCTTTCCCCAGCCAGACGTGGAGACACCACATGTGGGAGGAAGGCAGGCTGGGGTCATGCAGGTTTGCGCAGAGGATGGTGATGGCGGCCGGGGCATTCCCAGTCTGCGCCTCGAGCGTGACCCTTCCCAGCTGAGCTGAGCCGGCTACTTCCTGCCACAGACCCAGGAGGGCACAGCCAGGTCTTGAGAGCTCAGTAACTAGGGATGGGGTGTCTGTGCATGCAACAGGCCTTCACTCCCATCCCCCGCACCCCCTCTCCTACCAGCTCCCCTGGGCACTGAACCTGCCCAGCCCCAGGGGCCCTTGCGAGCACCGGCCTGGGGGTGCTTTGGGGCTATGCTCTGCTGAGAGGCAGGAGCC